CGTACCTTTTCGCGAATAGTTGCCACCTCAAGAGGTACCCTTTCACAAGGAGCTGCCATAATGTTCACCATGCTACAACTCACCTATGGTCAACTCACCTCCAGCTCATTCACCTTAGAACTAACTCAAACATGAAAGGTTACCTTTCTAAACATTGTGACCTTTCATGAGTGATACTACCCATGAAGATGCCCTTTCATCAAGGAGCACGTTGGTGAAGAGATTGTATCCATTGGAGGCCTAAATCACCAAGAGACATAAGATGAAGCTCCATGACTATTTGGCCACACCACATGCCTTGCACATGAGAGCTTTGGCGCCAACTTGATGAGGCACATCATCATTTGGCCAAGGGAGATGTCTTTGGCGCCAAGATGAACCAACATGCACCATTCGACCAAGGGAGATGTCTTCCCACCTTTGCTTAAACATCAAGCCCCTTAATGAAAGGTTAGTCGAACCAACACCAAGCTTAAGGACATATCTCTTCATTCAATTAATTATGTATTTTCATTAAGAGACATGTACCTAGCTGAAATACTATGTAACCATTCGGCCAAGCCCTCTCATTTTCTATAAATTGAGAGTCTTTCCATCATTTGTACTCATCTCATTCATATTAAAAAAAATGAACCTTTGTGAGTTTAATCTCTCTTCAAAGTTATTTGTGAACTTTATCGATTAAGCAAGTATAATTTCTTATACTTGTGGCGTCAATCCTTCTACCTTGATTCCTAAATTCCTAGGTTTTTATCTAGTGGGTTGAAGACACTTTCATCACCCCTCAAGCAAGTTTGTGAAGATCGGGATTGTGCTTCCTAGAATAGTTTTTCCTTTGGGGTGCTTGAGATACAACATCACCACTATCTCTATTTCAACTTCAACAACATCAACATCATCCATCAATACCATCAACATCATAGGAACGTTCTCACCGAGCTCTTTTCTTTCTTTTGCAGAAGTCTCTTTTCCTTTGGCCAAAACCGCTATTCTATTTATCATCTTGGACATTTGCTATCTTGTCTCTCTTATCTTCTTTTGATCTTCGTTGGACACACGATCCTTGGGTGCATAGCTCTCCAATATTCTCGGAGTTTCCTCAAGATGCTATTCCCTAGCTGTGTTATAGTTTACTTTATCATAAAACCCTTTGTTCATCATGAAAACCTTTTACTCTTATGACTACTCACAAATCAACACTTTGATTATGTCATGATCATGCGATGCAAGAAAAAAGAAAGCAACATAAAAACAAGTTGGTACAAATAAGGAAACAAGATTACAATAATTATTATAGAAGTAAATAAAAAAATAAAAAATTAATAAGATAATGCATATGCAAATACACAAGGTGTTAATTCCCAAAAGTGACCACCATAGAACATCATTCATTTAGACAACAAGATTTCATTACACCAGGTAGTCAAAATAAAATTACGATTCTTCACTTCTTTATTTTATTGAGCCACTCTTCATAGAATAGCATTGCACCCAAAGTTGTCGGGGTACTTTATCATATTTGACAACTCCTGAGATCCTTAAATTATTTGTGGTTGAATCGTGAGATCTCCATTTTGTGAAGTGGTTATCATGCCTTTGTGAATGGTTTTCTCGTTCTTGATCTAACTCATCTATCTCTTGAGGAAACATCTTGGCTTAGGTGCTTTCAAAGGAAGTCTTTGACCAACTTCAAATTCCTTCATTCACCATATGTATTTCTTAATGGATCGTTTGAACATCCTTGGATCTCCTGGTTTTGACTACATGGCTAATAATTTCTTGTTTCATTATGAAAAATCTCCTTACTTAGTCAATCATTTGCGAATCAACACCTTGTTTAGTTATGATGTGAAAATGCAAATGCAAACATAAGACAAACAAAAATAAGATAAAACAAAAGAATTTGTTAGTACCACTTAACCAAAAAAGCATAAAAGTATTCACGAAAAGAAAAGATCCCACCCAACATGGTATCTACCCAGTCATGGTTTTATAGCAGTTCTACCAAGACATGTTTTCTACCTCCATGTTTTGTTCAACATACAAATCCTAACCTCATGTCATCTAGTTCGCGTGCTTGTTTGAAAAAAATGAACCTAACTACAAAAAATAAAATGCTCAAAAAGGCTTTTCCTTGTGTACTCTTCTCACGGAGCTCTTAAAGTCTGGGTAAGGCTCTATCTGGATTCTAAGTTCAATATATGTTGGGTTTGGTTCTAAAGTAAGATGTTCTGAATTGTCCTTGTCAATGTCCCCTTAGGCTATCAAACCCTCAATCTTGGCCTAATACAGGCTTTCGGATCAAGTTTAATTCAAGGGAACACACCTTCTTATGTCCACACGGAGGTGAAACCCATCACGAGGACCATAAGGCGTGAGTCCCAGGAGCGATCTACTATCCCGTACGAAGGAGAAAACCACACGAGGGAGTAGATTCTCACTCCTACTTAAAAGGGACAGAGCGGGATTTTAGCTCATGTTATGCAAATGCAACTAGGCAGTGTGTGAGGAAAAGCGAAAATAAAGCAAACAACACCAAACATAAATCTCAAAATCTAAAACATCTATTTACTCTAAAAAAACCAACATAAAAGATAGTACAACTATTTGGTGGTTAATCAAATCATAAACACTTATTTAAACAAAACAAGGGATTAAAAACTAAATTATAACAAACTTGTAATTTTTATTTGTAAAGACAATTAATTAATCGACTAATGGCCTTACTCTCTAAAAAAATCACCAGTGGAGTCGTCAAACTGTCAAAATGGTTTTTTCGAATGGGGAAAAAGAGGGGCCTCGTTTCGAAATAATTTTTTATCATCGGTTAACAATAAAACGTGGTTTGAGGAATCACCACCAATCTTTGGTTAAGGTGTGATTGGGCACCCAAAAAGTATTTTTATTTTTAAAAAAATCATTTTAATTAAAACATATTTGTTGTCTGTGTTACCAAAATTTAAGTTCGGGAGTCGGTTACATGTGGTGAAGGATTAGCACCCCCACAGCGCCCTATATTGGTACCTAGTCGATTAATTAGTTGTCTTTACATTGAAATTTATGAGTTTGAGTCTAATTTAATTTAAGATCCCTTATAAATAATACTCTTTGAATTTTAGGACGAAACACAATAATATTTAATTATTTCCTATTGAGAAAGGATCGACCCTCTATACCTTAGAGCAATCGATTCTTACTCTAATCGAAATAAGGAAATATTAAAATTTCATTCTAAAGTTCATTAATAATTCATGATAACACACCCAAAATAATTTTAAGAGAGAAAAATATAATACCTAATTATTTCCCATCGAGAATAATGACCTTTCAAGCCTTAAAACATTCATTTATTACTCCAATCGAAATGAAAAGATATTACTATATTGTCTTAAAATTTAATATTGATTCGAGTGAAAACAATAATATCTAATGATTTCCAATCAAGGATAAATGACCTCTCATACCTTAAAACAATCATTTATTGCTCCAATCGAAATAAAGAGATATCACTATTCTGTCTTAAAAATCAATATTGATTCGAGAAAAAACGTTAATATAGAATTATTTACAATCGAGAATAAATGACCTCTTATGCCTTAAAACGGTCATTTATTACTCCAGTCGAAATGAAAAAAATATTACTATTATCAATATCGATTCGAGTGTTATTATTTTGAAAACTCATTGGAAAAACACATGCAAAAATAAAGCAAATTAAAAGCATACATCAAACAAGTATAATTAATTATTTGTTTTACCAATATTTAATGAAAATAATGATTTTCAATTATTTAAATACCTCGAGATGAGATCTTAGATTCAATCTAACATTCTTTTCTCGTTGAATTTAATTAAAAGAACATGATCTTTTTCCTAATCCCAAATTTTAAAATGGATTAAATTTAATTTGTCACTAAATGGGATAGACTTCCAATTTAAAAATACCAAAAGTAACTTTCTTATACTTTAAGACATTCACTTTACGACAATATTAAAATGAACGAATATTACCCTTAGTTAATTTATTTCGATTCGAGTCAAGAAATACTTATGTGGTTCCATGCAACCCAATAAAAAAATGAATTACCTCTAGACCTATATGTACGAACGAGCAAGCTTATAAAAACGTCTAAAAATTAAGTAATATGCTATTTTTGCGTAAATCAAAGTAACTGAGATTTAATGGCCCCAAACAAACATATTTATTGTATTTAAAAACATATATATGGAAGATAATACATTTGATATTAATAAATAAAATACAACATTATACTTAACATGGAAAGGTTTAATAAAAGGCATATATATATTACAAAATTCGTGAAACATGGCAAATAAAATATATAATATATATGGTACGAAAGTTATTTAATATGTAAAATATAAAATAGGTCATAAATAGCTTAGGCAATATAACATAATATAAGGTAAATTTAAAAGGAAAAACCTTAGCTTTAAAAACTAATCCACGATAATCAAGGTGAAATTATTTCAAAAATAGAAACAACACAAAACATATAGGATGACCAAAATATTAAGCATGACCAAAATGGTGGTATTTAAAATAAGGCATCTCGTATACAAAGCAATTTATGTTTTGAAAATAAATGAGTAAATTTAAAATATTAACAAAATAATAACATAAAATATAGGATGACTAAATTGAATGAAACAGGAACTAAGGGCCCGAAACACAAACGTATGAACTTTATTTAGTGACTAAAATGGAAATTTACAAAACATAAATGCTCAACAGAGTATTTTTCCCATAATATCAACATGATAAAGCATGACTAGAATAAATGCGAATCAAAATTAAAGGCACACATCATGATAAACAGAAATTACATTCTGCAACTAAAATGAAACCTTACAAAATTTCAGGTCTCCTCACGCAAATATCTCATGCGCCGAAACTCATGCACATTACTCCAAAACGACGTAGTTTGGTTAGGGGTATATAGACCTCATTTTGAGGCTACAACCCACAGCCCCTTTCATTTTCCCCTTTTATTGTATTAAAAGAGAGAGAAAGAGAGAACTCTCTCAACTTCTCTCCACCGGAGAGTGAAACGTCTGCCGCCGGCGTGCCTCGCCGACGTTCACGGTGGCTGGAGATGCAACAAAGCCCCCAAAATGTTCTTCTATTCCTCCTAATCCCGAAATCAAGACCCTTTTTCTCTAAAACTTAGCCAAAATGCCTAGATCTAATTGTATACCTTTCAAAAACAAAGCAATTCGGTGTCCTCTCGACTTCCCGATGACCGGCGACGAATATAAGGTTTATATCTTCCTTTATCTTTTTTTTTCCTTTTCTTTTCTCTACTGTTTTTCTCTCTTTTTCTGTTCGAAAACCCTTTTTTATCTAGTTTGAACCCCTTTTTTCTCCGATTTTTCGTTTCTTTTTTTCCGAATCCCCTCACTTTTTTTAAGCCAAACCCCTTTCTTTTCTTTTCTTGTTGCATGTTATATTTGAATCCTTTGCGTGTCTGGTCGGTCTAGAGCCATAGGGAAATGTTTTCGTAACAAGTTTCATGTGGATTTGGTGAAGGAGGCAGAGTGATGATGGTGGAGTATTTTGTGACGAAATCCCGATTTTCAGGGATTGACCTCTTTTTTTATTTGATTTTTTTATTGATTGATTTGAACTTTTTGACAGGTGGCGGAAAACGGAGCTGATGATGGCGGCGTGGCTTTCGGCAGTGGGTAATGACCAGCGATGATGCCGGTCCTTGCTGGCGACAGTGGCTACTGTTGATGTTTTAGGGTTAGGGTTTATTGCAATTTGGCCCAGCTGTTGGGCTCACTGTTTGGGTCGACTGTTGGGCTTACTGTGTTGGGCTTGAATTGTACTTGGCCTGCAAAATAATAATAAAATGAAAATAAAATAAAAAAGAAAAAGAAAAATAAATAATAAGAATAAGAATACTAATAATAATAATAATATGATTTCGATCTCGATCGGGACAAAACTGCTGTAGACACCGACTATGCTTGTGCCTCTGAATGCTTCCCCTCCTGTGGGTGGCAACGTAACATCATGATGATGTTCTAGTTCATATATGCATATTGTTTGTATTATTATAATCCACGATTAGATATGTCAGACTTCATGCAAACCTCATTCTTTTTTGGGTACATGGCTTGAATTTTCTATGGCATCTTCCTCATGCTTGGTTCCATTGGCTTTCGTGCATCTCTGGTCTTTGTTCGCCGCATTACCGCTCTATCAAGTGCGAGTAGGAATTTGGATGGCATTCTCTGTATTAAAGAACAAGCAGCATATTGGAACAGCTTGCGTCAGACCAGCAATGGAAGCGAGGTATGGTTATGTATGGAAGCGCTATTCCTATTTAGTGCAGTTCTCCATTTCTTTTGGTTTATATCTTCGCCATTTTATCTCTAAATTCAAAAATATATAAAACAGTCCTAGTTTTGTTACATATGGTGCTGGAAATTGATTCAGAATGAACTCAAGTTTTTGTGTTACTTATGGTCCTAATAATCAGAACACTAGACTGGTTACAAATATATAAAGGGAGTCGGTATATAAATCTCAATAACAGGAAAAATGGGGACTTCTTCTGGCACTCTGAGGCATCCTCTTACTAACAGTAGCTCTTCGTCCAAACAAAAAAAAAGTGAACTGTTTATAACCGGCATAATCTCTTTATTTTCATCAACATAATTCATATCAGAAAACCTTTAGCGTGCTAAAACATATAGGAGAGACAAAAATACTAGCAGTCTAACAATAGGGATGTAAAAAATTGACTCGATCTGTAAAACTGATTGAAATCAATTTGAGTAAGAACTGTTTGTGACTCGAGGTTAGGGGTGCACAAAAATTTCGAATATCCGATTTTGCGAAAAAAATATCGAAATCGGATTTGAGAAAAACCGATTTTTTTTAACCGGATCGAATTTTTTTAAACCGGTTATTTTAACCGGTTTGGAGAAAAAAACCTAGACCGGTTTTTTACCGGATAAAAAACCGGTTTGAAAAAAACCGGTTAAAAAACGGTTTTTATCCGGAAAAAAAAAACAGGTCTGGGTTTAAAAAATTAGCCGTTAATATAGCCGTTTGTGACCGTTTTTGATCGTTTTTTCTTTAAAAAATTACCATTTTACCACCCTAAACATGTATAAATAGGTTGGGGATGTATTTGGTTGATTACAACTTTCTCAAATCTTATTACACAACACTTAAACATCTCTCAAATCTTATTTTTGTAATTTTTTGTTCATCATGAGTAACACGGCTGAATCTTCCGTCGGGAGAAACTTGAAGTCGTGAGAGTGATCGAACACACTCGAAACAAAGATATTTGGAATCACTACGATTTATGTGAGATGTCAAATGGCTCGAGGATGGCGCGTTGTAAACTTTGTCTAAAGTTTCTTGCATCGGAAGGAAACACAACGTTGAAGAACCATGTGACAAAATCATGCAAGGCACTTCGCTCAAGATCGGATCCTAGTCAATCGAATCTTACACCGCAAGGTGGTGTTTTTGTTTACGACAACGAAAAATTACGAGAAGCGTTTACAAAGTTCGTGATTACAAAAGCATTGCGTTCGACCACTTTGATGATGAAGATTTCACGACAACAATTCAACAACTAATGCAACCACGTTATACTCAAGTAAGTCGTACTACCCTTAGAAGAGATGCTATAAAAATGTGGCGTACGGCGAGGGAAAAAATGATTTTAGGATTCCAAGAATACCGTTATGGTGTGTCGCTTACATGTGACGTTTGGAGTTCCCCTCATAATACCGGAAATTCTTTTTTAGCCGTTACGTCACATTGGTTAGATCAAGATAATTGGCAAATGATGAAAAGAACAATCGCGTTTGAATTATTCGGTGAGCCGCATACTGGTGCTAATTTATTTACACTTTTAAAAAGGGTAATTTGTCTTTATAAATTAGAAAATAAAGTTTTTTCTATATCCTTTGATAATGCATCGAATAATACAAACGCGGTTCCAAGATTGAAAATATTACTTTCACCGATTTTAGACGGTGCGTTTTTTCATACCCGTTGCGTTGCACACATAATTAATTTATCCGTGCAAGCCGATTTGGAGGTTATTGAGCCAATTAGATTAGAATTTAAAACAATGATAAAATCGGTTCTTTGTAACAACAATAAAAGACTAAATGATTATAAACGATTTTGTAAGTCTGTTAATAAAAAAGCTTTGGGTCCTAATTTGGATTGTCCAACTCGTTGGAACTCAACTTGGATGATGATGCATACTGTCTTAAGGCAAAGGGAAACATTGCAAACATTTCACGATCGGCTTTTCGAGAGGGGTCATGTCCCAAACATTTATCCGGATTCGAGTTGGGAAACTATAGCCAAAATAACCGATTTGCTTGAGGTTTTTAAAAATGCAACAACTTTTTTATCAAGTGTTTATTACCCTACTAGCCCGTTGGTTCTTAATCAAATATTTTTGTTGGCTACCGACTAAATGACTTTGAATTTGAAACCGAAGTTGTTCAAGAAATTGGCTTTGCAATGAAGGAAAAACTTTTAAAATATTTTAAGGAGATTCCCCCCACTTTTACTTGTGCCGCCGCTTTAAACCCAACGTTAAATGTTGGTGGGGTTGAAATACTAATTGAACAAATTGCGTTTGCTTTTAATCTAACCGATGATGAACCCAACTTTGTCCAAAACCAAATAAATTATTTTAACAAATGTTTTCGAGACATGTTTGCAATTTATTTAACTAAATACGATCAAGTAGTGTAATACACAATCAAATGAGAATGAATGCGGAATCATCTAGTAGACGTCCAAGTAACATAAATTTGAATCTTTTTAACACTCTTGTAAATTCCAATCCAAACGATCACGTACTACCACCCCAAGTAGCGAGTTGGGAAATTACATGTCATGCGATTTTCTATCAAAAATGACATTTGAAGAGTTTGAAAGTTTGGATATTTTGGCTTGGTGGAAAGAAAAGGAAGCACAATTTCCGATTCTAGCCGCCATGGCCCGTGATTTACTAACCGTCCAAGCTTCTACGGTAGCTTCGGAATCCGCTTTTTCTGTTAGTGGCAGGGTTATATGCAACGGAGATCAAGACTAAATCCCGAGTCGGTGGAAGTATGCATTTGTTTAAAGGATTATTTGGATGGAGCGACTCGTAAGCAACATATCACCACCCTAGAAGATGCAATTGATGCCGATTTGGAAGCAAACTTACACATTGAAGAAGTCGAACTTGGAATATCCCCTCCAAACGAAGAAGGCGAAGATGATGAAGAAGAGATGGCAATGTAGTTTATTTTATAACTTTATTTCAATTATCGTAAACTTTGTTTCAATTATCGAACTTGAAGTTTTTAAGTATTTGAATTTATCGAACTTGGAAGTTTTTAAGTATTTGAATTTATCAAACTTGGAAGTATTTAAGTATTTCAATTATGTTGAGTTAATTAAGTATTTCAATTAAGTATTTGAATTTATCGAACTTGAGGTTTGATGCTTTCTCTTTGATTCTCTCTTGATTCTAGTTGCTTGATGTTTCTTGTCTTTGATCAATGGCTTCTAAGCTTGTTTAAATACACCTTGAATCACTTCTGAACGTTAGTGATAATTAATGAAGATAATATAGCCGTTTAATTGTGAAAATATTTAATAAAAATGCTTGGAGCGTGGGGGAATCGGTACCCTCTCATAGGGAATCGGTTTCCTCTCATAGGGAATCGGTTCCCTAAGTGTAAAATTTAAATATTTCGACCGTTGAATAGGGGGAATCGGTACCCCCTATGGGGGAATCGGTTCCCTCCGAGCATTCTGGAAATCTCGGAGCCAAACCATTCAGTGAGAAATCGGTACCCCCTTGGGGGGAATCGGTTCCCTATGAGCAATCTCGAATATTAAAATCGGTTTTTTTATAACCGGTTTTTTTTTTAAAAAACTGGTTTTTTTAAAACGAAACCGGTTACACCGGTTAGGATATCGGCCCTCCAAACCGGTTAGAAACCGAACCGGTTATTTTATAAACCGGTTTTTTTTCTATGGGAAAAAACCGGATCGGATAAAAACCGATCCGGATCGGATTGAAATCCGACAAATGTGCACATCTACTCGAGGTGGTGGTGATCCAAAATTGATTCGAGTCTGAACTAGTGTTGATTTAAACCCAAGTTAGACCTGAAAATTTTGAATCTTAACCCGTCTTGCACTCGACTTGTGAAGGACTTAAGCACAAATTGAATTAATAATATGATAACCAAATTCAACATGCATTTGACCTCATATGAATCTGAACCCGAGATTAACCTAATAAATAACTAAAATTATCAGATATGTTATCAACTTGACTAATTGACTCAACCTATAAATGATATGACTTATTATTAAACTAATTTGATAATTGTCCAATTTGGTATTTATCTTACTTTTAAGTTATAATTGGTGAAGTTGTGAGATTATCAATTCATCATATTGTAATATGACAAAATACATCTTCACAATTTCATATACATGATAAACTATGATCATTAAATTAATATGTTCCCTCTTTATATTTATAAGTTGTAGTTTATAAATATATTCAAAAGTTTACTAAATTAGTAATTTGAAATTATAAAGTTAATAAGAAATAATTCTTTAAAATTTAAAAAAATGATTAATTATGATAATTAAATTAATAAATTTACTTTCTATATTAATTATAATTATTATCTTTAAAATTTTTATTATAACCAATAAATTAATTTTATTAACTAATTTATTTATTATGACTTTATTGTATTAGAATTTATATGATATAAAATTACTTTAAATATGAATAAAATTTAATTTATTTTTATATAATAATTGATTAATAATTTTAAGATAATTTAACTTCAAATTTTAATATATATATATATATATAAACATGATTTTACTCGAGATTGAAAATTTTAATAACTTAACAAATACTAAAACTAACAAATTTTTTAAATAACAAATTAAATTTATTATAATTTTGAACACTAAAATCACAATAAAATCAATTTAGTACACTACTATTTAAACTCTAAGATATTATAGAAAAAGTTTTACTAGGTTAAAAGCATGACTTTGTTATCAAAAATTTGTTCATCGATCATTTATTTGTTTATTTAAATTTTAATTTGTAATTTTTTATTTGTTTAATTCAGTACTTAAAATTGTATTTTTTTTATCAAAAGCATATATAATTACATATTATAATTTAACGTTCATGAAAGGCAGAAAATAATTAACCCAAAAACACTCGATTTGAAGTTCATCCGTACCCGGTAAGATTCAACCTAATTTTATTTTTCAGTAATGTGACCCGATCTAAACAAGATTCGACCTAAACTTCTTCTGAACCTGAATTAACCTAATATTTAACTAATTCAGACATGAACCGTTTTGACCTAAACTGATATTAATAATTGAAATTAAACCGACTCGAACCCAAACTGTGTTTGAATTCAAATCAACCT